ACTTGGGAGCACTCTAAAATTCAATACCTGTGCAGTGTGAGCATTTTGTCTGAACAGAAGAGCTGAGAAGCACTTGCAGGCAGCTTCTAACAGGCCACTAGCATTTCCCACGTCAGGGGAGTTCCTGTCCCTGCACTTATGCCTAATTAGTGTAGATAGGAACAAAAATGTTAACAAGGGGCCCAAAGCCAAAGCCTGTGCTTTTAAGCAACTGATAAGAGTTGCGGGTGTGTTCCTGCACCAGAAGTGTCTATAGTGAGTTTATGGGTGTTGTTGCTGTTGTTTTTAGATGGGTTTTTGTTATAGGGTGCATGCACTCTCTGGAGAGACAGAGAGACAGAAAGTGAGAAATCACCCTGAAGGGGATGGCCATGCTGCAGCCCCTTCTCCTCCATTCTCCTCTTGGGATTTTGGGCATGCACACACGTCTGCTGTGAATTACAAGCCACTGGGTCCAGAACTCAAACTACTGTCAACTACATGGGATTCCAGCACCTAAACCACTGTGCTCACCCGCTGACCTTATAGTGAGATTTATTTGATTCAAATAACATTTTCTTCATGACTCTTTAAGGGACAGGAAAATAGAAAAACAAAGATTTGAGGGTGTGTTTGGGGGTCCTAATTGGCTAAGTGCCTTTCCTAGGTATGACTAAGGTTCCCACTGCAGCCACTCTCCACTCTGGGAGCTGGAGTCAGCAAGGGGGAGCTGGGCCATGAGTCCAGCACGCCTAGGGCCAGTGCAAGAGGAGGAGGCATGGAACTCCATGGGTGGCAACCGGTGCTGGCCATGCTCTGACCTGCTCTACAGGGAGGCTTAGGACATGCCCTGCTCCTGCACTCCACTGTGGTGCTCCAAAGGTGCCCATCTCAACAAGCCCCCATGGGGGTGCCCCACACTTCAGCCCCCGCTCCACTCCAAGCACCGATCATATAGAGGACAAGATGGAGAGGAGCCCAGGGTGAGGCCCCTGGACTTCACTCTGCTGAGTGCTTGTCTTTTATGACATACAGGAGGATGCCTCTGATTTGGCATGGCCACCCTCCAGTCAGCACCAGAGAAAGGAGTTGGGGATTTTCAGTCCAGACTA